TATATATATATATATATATATATATATATATATATATATATATATATATATATATATATATATATATATAGTACAATCTGCAGACATGCATGTTTCGTTATCAAAATGACATTCCATTTTGTGACAAATCAACTGGAAATCGGAGAGTCGAGGTACGCCAAAATACAGGCAGAAACCTAAAGCAAGTACAAGAACCGAGCGAGTTCTGTTCTGCATGAGATCGTTTATAATTAAACTAGAAAATACATGCATGCAGAAACCCTCCGCCTTGCTGACAAAACCATTGTATTTTCCGAACATGAAGTATCTAAAGTAGTTGTCATGGTAACACGATAATTTTTTAAGAATATTCTTACAAATGAAAAATCGCCTAAAAATATATCACTTTTAATTACTAAATTATCAATTTCCCAACATATATATGTTACGTATGTTATTATACTTAATGCTAATGCTTTCGTTTCTCCGGGTGTAAATAGCCGGGGGGGATTAGTACCCTCGCACGGCGCTTCGCGCCGTCGGCTCGGGGAATGCTATATTTTAGATTCAGGCGAACAAAATCCTGGGCCAAAAATTTGCGCCATTTGCTGTATCCAACAAACACGACAGAATTACCAACCATTGAATTCATTTTCATTTGAATTCGAAACGTAACTGCAAGCAAGTATATTCCTATACATGGTGTGTTAAAAAAGTTAGTTATTTCATCAGGAAACTTGACCTTTCTCGGCCTGTCGACTGTCGACGTTGTCAGTGCATGTATATGCCTTGTGGATTTTCCCAAAACATAGTGCAAATTCATGCAACTTCTCCGTATTATATATACCGACCACACTGACCAAGGTTTATATATATATATATATATATATATATATATATATATATATATATATATATATATATATATATATATATATATATATATATATATATATATAATAGGTAGGTTATTATACAAGACCTTGTGTTCTTACCCAACCATCAATTCAAAGCAATTAGAGCTGTCAAATTACTACAATACCGGGGTTATAGCTAATTTGAATTTGAAAGGGTTCCGCAGTTGGGTTTTTTATATACACTGTAGATGACTAAATGGTTCAATATTAATGAATTCGAATCAACACAAATTAAATAAAACTTAACTGAGTGTACGATCTAATCGTTTTAGTGCCGTTGGGAATCAACTTTGAAGCGTTCCAACTCTTCTAACGTCGTGAAAGCCCAAACGCGGGAAGATTGGTTTTCGTCTTTTCGTAGAAAGACTTTGTCCATCCTGAGCCAGACAAATTTGAAATGATTCTCCCTCTTGAATGTGTGGGACTTTCTGTGTGAGACTTTCATTGATGTGTAACATTGAGTCTTGCTGGAAACCAAGATCTCGAGCATTTTTAGTTAACCTCAGAGATAATGCTTCAGATTAATTAAAAATTTGTTTCGACCAACGCAACGTGTAAACTTGACAATAATCGCCGGGATACGTCCGGGCGAAGCGGGAAGCCGATGGCTGATACGTTGGGCGCTTTCCATTTGAACAAAAAACCCAGTTTGCGTTTCCGGAATGTCCAGTGGCAAAATTGAACGCTACAGCGTGACAGGTCTTGTAAATAATATAGGAGGCTTGTTGGGCGCATTCCATTTGACGTAAATTCCGGATATCTTTCTTGAAAATCAAATGGAACACGTTAATCCTTGGCATACTGTTTCTTTAAGTTTGAGTCACTAAAATGGTCGAGAATCCGCCATTTTGGTTTTGGTGGCGGTTTTTGCTCGTCGAAGACTGGAAAGCAGCAACGTGGTTGGGAAATGTTTTAATGGATTAAAAATTTCGGAACTTCCGGAATTTCCAATTTGTGGACAACCTCGAGAGATTGTCCGAAATTTTCAAAACAGCATTACAGAAATTAACGTGTTCCATTTGATATTCAAGCAAGATTTCCGCAATTTCCGTCAAAAGGGAAGCGCCCAGAGATATCACGATCGTCCAAATTAATTTCGGAATCAACCAATTCGACAACATCTCTCACAATGCTATATATTAGTATACCTTCGTCTCTACTCACATGTAGGGACACCATGAATTTCAATAATAGGGAGCTTAAGCATGTAGGACGGCAACACCATGCACGACGACGGCCAAAACAAATTCCTTCAAATAAATGATAGTAAAGAAAACTTGTCGTATATTATAATTCCTATGAATTTAATACAGTATAGGAAGCTGAAAACATTGGCTTTATGTTTGGGAAGAGTTCTACTGACCGAATTTTAAATTTCACTTGTTACGGTTTGAAATGCAGGCGTTGTATAAAAGACGTGAAAATCTGTGATTTGCCGTTGTAAACAGAGTGACGACGGCACGTCTGAAACTCCCCTGGGACTTTAATTATTTATTTATTTTCATTGACTCATTCTATTGGTTGCCGTCGTCGTCGTGTTGCCGTGCTTCATGCTTAAGCTCCCTATTATCTCTCCGCAAATACTATTTCAAGTTCTCCAAATCATTTTAATCACGTTCTCCATATCATTTACATTTTTTTTCAGTGGCATTTTATAGGTGTTAATTAAACATCAAAAGATTATGAATTTCGATTAATAAAAAATTGTACTGAGCTTTATTAAAATTCGTATCTGACTATAAATTTGTTCGAGATTTAACGGAGCAGAAAAGCCACGTCCGCTCGCTGTCACAAGGATATGCGAATTTTGTATAGAGGGGAAAATAATCTCAACCGGTAATGTCCAAGAGCTTTCTAGCACGCCGTAGTTGTTCAAATTGCTACGTTATTGACATCATTTTCATGGCTGATAACCACGCCAACAGTTAAAACGTTCGAAGTCATATATGCATGGCTGGGGTGTTTTTTGCGAATTCACCGACTATTGCTTTTAAAAGCCTGGTTTCCATATGGTCGTAACGTACGGTCGTATAAAGATTGAGTCACGATTTTATATATAGTATATACTAGAAAATACATGCATGCAGAAACCCTCGCCTTGCTGACAAAACCATTGTATTTTCGGAACATGAAATATCTAAAGTAGTTGTGATGGTAACACGATATTTTTTTAAGAATATTCTTACAAATGAAAAAACGCCTAAAAATATCACTTTTAATTACAAAATTATAAATTACCCAACATATATATGTTAGGTATGATATTATACGTAATATAAGCTTCAATTTAAGGTAAAATTCAACCACAAACGCTCCTGCATTTAATTCAATGGCTTTATCGATAAACTTTGAGTTTGCAACTTTAGACTTCGCTAATGCTTTTGTTTCCCCGGGTGTAAATAGCCGGGAATAATTAGTACCCTCGCACGGCGCTTTGCGCCGTCGGCTCGGGGATAATGTATATATATATATATATATATATATATATATATATATATATATATATATATATATATATATATATATATATATATATATATATATATAT